AGGGATTGATTGATAGATGACAGCTACATGCGTTTCGAAACAGTGTTGGGTGGATGGGAGAGAGGGAGATTGATCTGAAATGGTAATATTACCTTTAGGGCCAGTGGTTTTTTCCAGGGATATGAGAGGAAAGGCAGTCACTCTTTGAGAAGCTTTCAGGGAAAGCGGGTATCTTCAGAGAAGAGCCAGGCTTCTTGTTAGAAGAAGAAGAAAGTGACATTCAGAAAACTGTTGAAGGTTTAGAGGCTTTTGCTAGTGACAGATTGTTAATTTCAGAAGGCTCAGGGAAAGAGAACTTCCTTCCAGAATTAGAGTGGAATGGGAGATGGGATAAAGTAGAGGGCCTGCAAAGAGCTATGAACATGTGCAAGTGTAACCTGGGAACTGTAGTTTCTAGTGGTTCCTAACATCAACAGGGGGGAGGGAAAATGACGTTAATCCTGATGGACCTGCTGCGAGAAGTGGTGGTGGGGCTGTGAAAGTTTCAGGGTAGAGGAGGTGTTCTGGAGGAGCTGTTCTTTTGGGCTCTGCAGAGGAAGGCAAAGAAGCATGCGGAGGGACAATTTCACTGAGTATTCACGTAAACTTAGATCTGCGGTTGAGGGCTCCCATTTGACCTCTAGCAAGTGAATAAGAGGCGCGGGGTGGTCTGGTGTTACAACTGTGTAATTTGCTGTTGTTCAGTTTCTATGTTGTGTCTGATGCTTTGGACTGTAGCATGCCAGGCTCCTCTGTCCTCCATTATCTCCAGGAGTTTGTTCAAACTCATATGTCCATTGAGTCGGTGATGCCATCCAACCATCTCATCATCTGTCGCCCCCGTTTTCCTCCTGCCCTCAGTCTCTCCCAGTATCAGGGTCATTTCCAGTGAGTCAACTCTTCGCATCAGGTGGCCAAAGTATTAGAACTTCAGCTTTAGCAACAATCCTTCCAGTGAATATTCAGGGTTGATTTCCTTAGGATTGTCTGATATTATATTCTTATAGTCCAAGGGACTCTGAAGAGTCTTTTGTAACCCCCAAATTCAAAAGCATCAATTTTTCCTCACTCAGTCTTCTTTATGGTCCAACTCACATCCATACATGACTACTAGAAAAAACATAGCTTTAACTGTAATACACACACAGAAAAATGCACAAATCATCTGTTCAGTTTGATGAATTTTCACTAAATGAACACTCTTGTATAACCAGCTCTTAGCTCAATTACTAGAACCCAAAAATTAACTCCTTCAAGAATAGCCACTCTCCTAACTTTTAACACAATTGATTAATTTTGCCTGTTCTGCAAGTTTATATAAATGTAATTATATAGCATGTACTCATTTTTTTTCTTCTATTTCCCAATATTGTGACCTTAATGTAGTTACAGTTTGCTTATTGTCATTGTTGTATAGAACTCCATGTATGATGTACTATAATTTATCATTTCTACTCTTGGTGGACATTTGGTTTCTTTCTAGTTTTTGACTGTTTATAAAAACCGCTACTCTGAATGTTCCTGAACACATCTTTCAGAGACATACATCCACATTTCTGTAAGGTATATTTCTATGCATGGAATTGTTAGAGTGTACATGTGTTCAATTAGAGGGTATTGACAAGATTTTTCCAAGATGCTGTATCAATTTACATTCGTGCCAACTGTGTATGAATATTCTGGTTGCTTCATATATTTTTCAACATTTAGTATTGTCTCTTACATTCTCACCGTGTGTGTGTGTGTGTGTGTGTGTGTGTGTGTGTGTGTGTGTGTGATATCTCCCTGATGACTAACAATCTTGAGTACCTTTCATATATTCATATGAAATATGAATATAATATATTTATATTATATTTCCGTTTGGATAAGTGATGTGCTTGCTTTTCCTATTGAATTTTCTGCCTTTTTCTTAATAATTGATGAATTCCTTATATTTCTGAATATGAGACTTTTGACAGAATTGTTAGTATCTTCTCCCACTCTGGTTTTGCCTTTTCATTCACTTAGTGGTATCTTCTGGTGACTAGAAGTTCTTCCCTTCCCCCACCCCCGTTTTATTGAGATATGATTGCCAAATAATTATGTATTTAAGGTATGCGTGATGTTTTGGTATACCACAATCAAGTTAATTAACAAATCTATCACCACATAATTACCAATTTTTATGTGTGTAGTGAGAAATCTACTCTCCTAGCAGATTTCAAGTATACATTATTTTATTAGCAAATTTCAAGTATACATTATTTTATTAGCATGGTTACCATGCTGCCCATTAGGTTACCAGAATTTACTAATCTTATAACCGAAAATTCGTACCCTTTGGCCAGCATCTCCACATTCCTCCAGCCCCTGGAAACCATGACTTTACTCTCTGTTAACCTGAGTTTGACTTATTCTACACACAAGTGAGACCTTGAAGTATTTGTCTTTATGTGTCTGGGTTATTTAACCTAGCGTAAGATTCCCAGATTCATCCATGTTGTTGCAAATGGCAGAATTTCCTTCTTTTGAAGGATGAATAATATTCCATTGTATGTTTGTGTGTATATCGTATTTTCCTTATCCATTCATTTGTTGGCAGACAGAAATTCTTTTAATGGAGTCCAATTTATAAAAATCCCTTCATGATTAGTGCTTCTGTGTCTCTTGTTTAAATTTTTTTTTTTTGCCTACCCTAAGGTTTTGAAGGTATTCTTTAATGTTCTAAAAGCTTTGTTTTGCTTTTTAAAATTAGATCTGTGATCCAACTGCAACTACCTTTTGCATATGGTGTTAGCTAGTAGGTTATGGTTCTCTTTCTACCCCCTATCCCATGGAGCTGTCCAGTTGACCTAACCCCATTTTTTATAAAGGTTACTCTTTCTCTACTGAATTACATAGTCACTTTGGTCATAGGTCAGATCATCATGTATGTATAGGTCTGTTTCTAGCCATTCTGCTCTGTTCCATTGGGTTTTATTGATGGTAATAATATGATAATACCACACTGGCTTAATTACTATGCTTTTAGTAAGTTTTGTAGTAAGCCTTAATATTTAGAAGTCCAAGTCCTCCAGCACTGCTGTTCTTTAAGATTGCTTTGACTATTCTCGATCCTTTTGCATATCCCCCTTGATTTTAACCTCTTAAAAATTAATTTTAATTAGAGAATTATTTTGAACTTTTGTAAAAATTTTATCTTCCCAATTCTTTGTAACTTCTGGTTCTATTTGTGATTGCTTTCTGTCTTAATTTACTAGATGAGCAATGGATAAGTAAAAAGAAAACTCATGTGTACTTATATTTACCTTCATTCTGCTTCACAAATGTGTATAACAGGATAAAAAAAAAAGTAGATCTAGGTAGAAAGAAAATAAGGGAACGTGTGTAATATAATATTATAAATAGAATTAATCCTAGCCAGCTTTTTTGTGGGTAGAGTTAGGGCAGAAACTTTGACTCCCATTTTATTAAAATCAAAGCAAAGATTATCTGCTAGGAGATTCACAGTATCCATAATATAAAAGCAAACCAGTTACTCTAAAGGAGAATTTTTCATGGTATTGAAAACCAAGGATGTGAATTTTATGCTCCTTTGGATTTTAAAGGGGATAACATATGATCAAGCAGGGTTTTCATGACATTTTGGGCATAAACTCAAAGCCTGGTTTATGTGAATGAACAGTACTGTAAAATGAATAATATAGTACAAATAATGTGATTTTTTAATAGTTTGGCTTGATCGAAGGATAAAATTTAGAATAATAAAAGGGCTATTTTTTTAAAGGGCTATTTTTTAATCCTAAAAAAGTAAAATGCATATCTCTCAAGTAATTCTTCATATATGAATAAATGAATTAACAAATATATGTATTTTCTTAACCATTTTTAATAGAAATTAGACAATAGAAACATTAGAACGTATTCTTTGCAAGAACCTGTGTTGTTTGTTTAAGATGTATCTGTATACTTTGATAGACAACTAAGCAAAAGTTGTATGAGTCGATCGTCTTCAATAATAGTATTGCGTAGTAAAACAACACTTTTATTGCCAGTTGCTTTTATTTAGATTTTTTCATTTAATTTTCACAGTAATCCATTGAAAGTATGTACTGTGGTTTTTCCTATTTCATGAATGAAAAAAGGAAGGCAAATAACTTGCCCAAGTTTATACTACAAGTAAGAATAGAATTAAGATTCAGTTTCTGTCAATTTTGCCTCGATTTATTCTACATGATAATTCTGATGAATATCAAGGTTAATGCAGGGTTTGTGCCTGACTTAGGAATTTAGCAAGTTCAGATAGAACTAATAAAGTTTTCCCTCAAGAAACAGCCCACTCTCTTATAGATGGAGGTGTGAAGAAAACTATATTGTACATTGACAGAAGTTTTGCTTGAGATAAATTTGTTTTGCATTTCCTTTAACTTCTTTTTTTTCTTATTTATACTTAAGTAAATTCCAATCTTATGAATAGCTGTTGTTGCATATAGCCATTATCTTGGATATTACCACTTTTACTTCTGTTTTATGAATATTAAGCTTCCAGGAAACCAAGTGGCTTGCCTAGATAGTTATTGTACTAAAAAACTGAAATATAAGCAAATTAAATTACTTTAATGTTTTCTATAAAGTCAAGTTTGGATGCATGTCTTTTATATTTTCACAATTTTAAAATGTTTTTTAAGTTCCATTATCTCTTTGGAATTATTTAATTTAAACTAAGGAAAAATGTCCAGTATGTTTTGCAGCTGACATTACTAAAAGCTGAATGAAAATTGTAGAGCTAATTTCGTCATGTTATAATCGTTTATACTTTTGTCATGATTCTTGCGTTTCAATGCTGTTTGTATACATTGATTTTTGATAGTAACTCAGTAATTTATGTTTGAAACTTTTAATTTCTCAATAAAAAAGTAGCTAAATTTTATAGGATCACTTCTATCCTTGGTAATCTGACTATAAAGAAAATGTATTCAATATTTTAGCATTTTTCTATGTTAATTTTCAGGTTGAAGATTTAGAACAGATGTGGAAAGATGTTCACTTCAGAGAAAGGGGTTGTGGAGGAATGGTTGTCGGAGTTTAAGGTAATATTTACTGTTTTACTATAATAACTATATTCCAAAGAAGTTTTATCTGGGTTTTAAATTCTGGTGACTTTCTTTTTTAATGACTAAAAAGCTAAATATCTGTGGAAGCAAAAGAATTTTCCAAAAAACTTATTGGGGAATTATTTACACATAATAATCTTTCTGAGGAAATTGACTCCTTCTTTGCCAAGTGGTTTAAAGGTTTGTCTTCTCCCTTTTTTGGCAACATCACAAAGAATGATTCAGGTCTCTGAAAGTTGATGTCACTCTCCCTAACCACCATGAACGATTCATGGTTGAAGTGTTTCTCCCTGTTTGGGGCGGCAGGGGAAATGGACATGATCAGCGATGAGGAGAAGATGGGAAGATGTTTGCACAACTTTCTATCAGTGCCTCTTTCTTTAGTTGGCTAACCCAGTGCCTGTAAAGGGGTATGTAACTTTTGGTTAGTGGATCAAAAACAAAACCTCTGTTTGGTTATCTTATGAACTCTTCTCTATGATAGCTAAAATTATGTTTCTTTAACCAGTTAAACTGGAGCTTTCCTGGTTGCTCAGTGATAAAGAATCCACCTGCCAATGTAGGAGACATGGGTTTGAATCCTGGGTCAGGAAGATCCCCTGAAGAAAGAAAGGGCAACCCACTCCAGTATTCTTGCCTGGGAAATCCCATAGATAGAGGAGCCTGGTGTGTGGTAGACCAAGGGGTTGCATGACTTAGCGACTAAACAATAACCAATTAACCACCTTCTTTTTGTCCTCTGTCTCACTGTTACACATAATTACGTGAACTTCCTGATCAGGAACCACAAGAATGAAAAGTTTGGGCTGACACTTTGGTTTTTGTTTTTTGGTTTTTTTGTCTAGCTTGATTAGCCCAAGACCTTGGACAAAAGTCAGAGTCATTAGCTTGTTTCAATGAGGGACACCATAAAATAGGTACTGTGTAGGCATCTCACCAAACAAAAAAATAAAATCATTACAGGATTTGGAGGAAAGGTGTTCAGATAAAGTTTAAATGAAATAGTATTTTGATAGACTCAAGACAAAGCAGAGCTATGTGTAATGGGGTTAAAATCAGACCTGGATTGTGAAGTGAACCCATGGTCATGTTGTCTTTAGAAACTACAAAGTTAGCATCTGTGTGGAACGTTGGGTTCAGAAACCCCTAATCTGAAGCCTGGTTCTCTGTGTCTAGGTGACTCCAGGCATCAGTGGGATATTTCATTCTTATCGATACATGTTTAAAAAGCAAAACTTTGGATATCTCTGATTTTAGATAACAAAGCTCCTCACTGAGTAAGAATACAGAAGTCATTCAAAAATGGAAGTTCAAGAAGGAGAGGACATACGTATACCTATGGCTGATTCTTGTTGATGTTTGACAGGAAACAACAAAATTCTGTAAAGCAATTATCCTTCCATTAAAAACTTTTTTTTTAATGGAGGTTTTTATGACACTTTTCAGCTGTAGTATGTCCTTGAGAGAAGCAATGTTTCCTGTTAATTTTGTAGCTGGCCGTAGCCGTTGTTGTTATCTCATCCTGATGAATGAAAAAGATTTTCATTTTGTCAGCTTTTGTAGTCATAAATTATCTTTCCATGGATCCCCTAATTCATAGAGTGATGTAGTTATGCATGCACTTATAGAAGTTCACCGTATATAGTCCACTGCATACAGTGCCGTCTACATATTTTAACAGTTTGAATAAATCTGGTGTGTGCCTTTTTTTCTTACATAAGTTGTCTTGTGTTTTTAAGCTTTTTTTCTGTTTCATGAGAGTTTAATATGGTTCATTATCATGATTTTTTTGGCAAGTTGATGAAAATTGTCAAGTTTAACAGCTGAGTACCACTTCTGGGATATTCTTCTGTTTAATGGTGAAGTAAAATTTGCAAAAGGAAATATAGCCATTAAGCCATTTTTTAAAATGGGAGTTGTGGCAAGAGGGCATGATGAAGGATGGGTAACATAGAGGCGGAGTCAACTATTAAGGCAAATAATTGAAAGTTATGGCTAATTCTCTTCCCTTATCATCTGTTTATTCTCTTCCATTCCTGGGAAGTAAACTTTTTCATTGAGAGAAGAGAAGTAAAATCCTGGACCCCATGAACTGAAAAGTTATTTAACTTTCCCCTAACCATCCAAAAGTAAATATAGTCAATTTGATATAACAAATGATACAAATTTTTGTCAAGTATAAGGGAAGATATTTCCTACTCTTTGGTTTAATATGGTAGGCATTTCTGAAAATTATCTTGAATTGTGTTAGTGTGCATTGAATTCAGCTCTGTTTATGTTTGGTAAAGAGGTTAAGGTTACCAGACAAAGTTAGCAACATACTAAAAATAATAGAAAATAGGAAAGTACCTAAGAACAAATCTCTTACTTTTGAAGTTAAAGTATCTTGTCTTTTGAAATGATTTGTGATGTTAGTTACATATTTTGGTTAAAACATTTAAGAAATAAAATTTAGAGATTATTTATCTGTCATTCTATCTGAGTTTCTGCTTGGTTGTTTAATAACCGTGGTGCTAATAAGCCAAGGTCATCATAATTGATAAAATAAGTGGTACAGGGTACTTGAGACTGAGAAGTCAAATTTTTCCTCTAGGTGGTTTTACAATGTTGGACAAATTGCATAACTTCTTTGGGTCTCGATATCTTCACCAGGAAAACTGAAATAGGTGGTGTGTGAACATGATTTTAGCTCTACAGTTTTCCATGGGTGCAGCCTGAACCTCACTCAGCATTCTCTCAAATGCACAAGATGACGTAGTTTGTGTTGTGCTTTTTTTTTTTCCTTCTTTTTTCTTTTTTGCCTTTGGACAAACTAGCATCTACTCCAGCTTTGGGCCCTCGTTAATATTCTCTTAGTATACCAACAAAGTGATTAAACTCAGACTTCATTATTTTAAGATTTCATGAGTTGTTAGTTCAGTCTCTATATTTCAAATACTTATTTATAAAATGTTATCTTATAGATTGTATTGTGTTTTTGTTAATGTTATGTGTAGATTTATATAGCATATTTTTTTATTTTCTGGTAGTCACTGAATCACAATATGTGACTCAAAGTCTAGTCTTATATGTAGTGTTGTTGGTCAGAGTTGTTTTATTTATTGGTTCTCTATCCATCTGTCCATCTTCATTAATTCTCTTACATCTAACCTGTATCACTTCCTTATATTTTATAAAAGCCATCTGCCAAATGATACTTTAATATGAAGCAGCTGTCTTCAAATTTTGCCAAGGCTAATTTCTTACCATATTATCCCATTATTACTTCTTTTGTCTCTAGTTCTGCCTTCTTCAAAGTGAGAACACTTAACTAGTACTTAAGAAGGCCAGTACCTTTGAACTAGTACAATGTAAATTTAAAGGTTTGTTGTAATGATATTTAAATCCATAGGCTGTCTTAGATCTTAAGGTTTTCAAAGCACTGTTCATAAACACAGCAATTGTATTTTCTCTCCTTCTATTGACAAAAGTTAACTTTTCTCACATTCACAAAATGAAATAATGACAGAAATTTTTTTAGGAGACCTTTCCTCTCATTTAGCAGTAGTAGCCTAGGCCCGGAATATTTTCTAGAACTTGTCTTTTCGGAAAAGAACTGTCCTGTTACTTTTGGCTATTTCACAAAAAACATTTTACCTCATGAGGGTTAATTGGTACATAACTGAAAATTGTAATTCACACTTAATGACTGTTTCAGTTTTAGGCTAGACAGTGCATGTAAAAATCTTTTTATTCACTAATCATTTTTTAAGATTTATTTTTCAATTCACTTAGTTTGAATTTTATGTTTAGACACACATGTGCACACATGCACACACACACACACATTAATGTGTTTTATGTATATAGCTTAGGTTCATTATCTTCCAGGCAATTAGACATCTGTTGTTTATTTGACAGTTACTCCCTTTTATATAAATTCCACCAGTATTAGGTTACTCTTGATCAAATAACAGAAATGGAATGTTGTCTGGAGATCTTTTGTTACATGCTTTTGAAATATTGAAGAAAGCCCTAATCTCCTCTTTATGTAAGCAGTTGCAGTGAAACTCTCTCCTCCCCACCCGAAGAATGGCGGAAGGTTCCCAGATAGTTCACATTTACTTAACCATTCTGGTAAACAAAACTGTCCTATTAAATTAAAAAAACAGTCTATTCACTTATATATCCTAAGGTGAAATGTGACCTATTTTTCAAGAATTTATTTAAGAGTAACAGTGACAGTATTTATTTCTTATTTTGTTCATCTATTATGTAATGTCTGCAGCAAAGATTTGAGTACAAGGCCTTGTGCTAAATCCTGTGGGTGGAGAGATAAGATAGTTCTTGCCTTTGAGGAATTCACAGTAAGGTTAAAATGAATCAAATATCCTTATTATAAACATGCTGTTTGATTTTCTATGTCTATTTATGCACACATACACCTGTATACACTAACCATAACCCATTTTAAATCATAAAATACTAGAATATGGGACATGGAAGAAATAATGTATATCTTACAATGACTATTAGGAGTATCTTGAGACATTATATCTGCTGCAGGATGAACATTGTTGATTAGTTGGTTGATTGATAGAAATACTTTTCCTAGGAAAAAATAAAGACTTGGAAGACAGAAATTGTTTAAGAAGGTCATACTCTAGAAGGATAGGTTTTTGTCATTTGTTATAATGAAGTTGTTGTTGTTGTTTTCAGATTTCCCTACTACCTTTACCCAAAACTGTCTGACTTGCTACTGGAGTTTTATCTCTTCCCATTCCTTTCTGGTCATGGTGTCCTTTCTGAAAGGGTGACCCTGCCAGACTGTGGTTAGTTGTTGACATTTTAAATGGCATTAGGGAAATTTGTTGGTATTGTGGCTATCTTCTTCTCTGTTCCAAGAAGTAGAAACTTCCCCCTTGTTGTGTAAAGGAGAACAGTCTTACTTAACAGTCGATATATGATCTGTGGCTTTAAGGTTTGAAACATTAGATCCTTATATAACATGTTTATTAAGAAACAGAATAAAATACTGTTGAGATTGGTAACGTGTATGTTGCTACAAAAAATCTCTGGCTTTACAAATGATTCATATTCTTATTTCCAACTCCAAACTCTGATCAAAGATGCATTGTTGACATTAATTTGTATCCCTGTTGATGTTGAGGATTAAATATATCTTTTGTTTTATTTTTACCATTTTTTTTGTTGAGATATTGTTCACATAATGAAAAATTCACTGTTTTCAGGTGATAATGCAGAGGTTTTTTACTGGTTTTAAAATGTTGTGCCGTTAACACCATCATCTAAGCCTAGGATATTTCCATCGCCCCCAAAAGAAAATCTGTATCTAGTTAGTCACTCTCAGTTCTACCTCTTCTGAATTGCCCCTCCCCCAGTTTCTGACAATCTGCTTTCTGTATTTGGATTTACCTATTTGGGACATTTCATAAAAGTAAAGTGTATTTTTTAAATTTGTTTAGACACTACCGGAAACATCCTTACCAAATTATGCTACAAATTTGAAGGAAAAGAGTTCTTTAGTTTCATCTCTCTATAAAGTTATCCAGGAGCCACAAAGCGAGGTAAGTACTCTAAGTACTCTCAGAGTTCGTCATGCTAATAGTTTTCATCTGATTGATTTTTAACTTCTTGTGAAATGTAATACATATATTTTAAAAAGTAAGATAAGTAGAGTTTTTAAAACTGTAATATATATTTTGGAGTGTTTAACTGATTCCTTTTGAGAAGTGAATAGAAAGGTAAGAATACTTTATATTCAGAAAAATGGCAGAATAAAAAAAATTATGATAAAGTGAGATCCAGTGTATCATCTCTCAGGCCAAGAAATAGCATCACCATATTCCAAAGCCATCTCTGAACATGCTGGTGCTCATTTTTCTATGTATTATGTATGTATGTGTCTGTCTGTCTCTCCATCTGTGGGGATAATCTTGGAGAACCTGGGTCACTGCATTCGTTTATTCATTCAGCAAATATTTGTGTGTTCATTATGTGTCAGCTGCAGTGCTAGGCAACAGAAAACTCAGAAAACAGAAAACTCATCAAAGATGAGTAGCGCATGGCCTGTGTCCCAAAAGAGGAAAGGGAGAAAATAAGTAAATACATACTTTCAGTGTGATGCTTAACTGAGTCTAGATGGATTTGCACACGTTTCCCAGGTGTAGAAAGTAAAAGGACATTGCAAGCTGAAGGGAATAGCATGTGGAGGACTGAGAAAATGCACAAAATCTGAGTAGCTAGTAGTTTGGTTCTGCTGGTAAGTTTTTCCCAGCCCTTGCTTCTTTTCTCTGCTTTCCCCTCTCCTGCATTTCCTTTGCATTTTTAGGTAGCAAATTTAGTTTGAAAGTGTTTAAGTGAACTGTACTCCCAGATTCTGGTGCTTATAAATCCTACCATTCATAGTAGAAGTAGATAAGGATGGGAAATGGTGAGGAAAGTCAAAATGCATGGCATGTGGATAAAAGCAAATAATCTAGTTTTTAGCCTGATCATTGTGGTAAAGACAGTGTGTATCCTGTATTCTTAAAGAGAAAACTCAGTCTTAAAAAATGTACTCAGAAGTACTTCTCAGATATAACAATGTGATCTACTTTTCGGGCTTCCCTGGTGGCCCAGCTGGTAAAGAATCCGCCTGCAATGTGGGAGACCTGGGTTCGATCCCTGGGTTGGGAAGATCCTCTAGAGAAGGGAACGACTACCCACTCCAGTGTTCTGGCCTGGAGAATTCCATGGACTGTAGAGTCCAGGGGTCACAAAGAGTCTCCTTTTGCTCTCCAGAATACTTTATTCTTAATGTGGAGATACAGTATTCCTGAAAAGTTGATGTCGTTGTCTTTTGGCACTTTTGAAATTTGAAATATTGATTCTACTTTATTTGAAATCTGGGAAATTTGATATTTGGATTTTTGCAAATATCATTATGTGGTTAAATTCATTTGATAAATATTCATTGAACACATATAATGTGTCAGAAATCACTTAGAAATGTACAAAGTAGAATAAATTCTTTATCTTATAGATTAGAACTTATATTCTGGTAGGTAAGATAAACATTAAACAAACACCTAAATGTATAATAAAATGTCAGTGGTAAAACTATGAAGATAATAAAGCAGAGTAGGGGAAGTATATGTTGGGGCTGAGGAGGTGATGGTTGAATGAAGGTCTGAATGAATTAGAGCAAGAAAATAAAACTGGGGGCAAGAGCTTTCCAGAGGAAACAGCACAGAGGCCCTGAGGTAAGTGTGTGTGTCAGGCTTAAGAAACTGTGAAGAGGCAGTTTATGGATAAAGTGAAGTTTCCTTGACTGGTGCTTCTAACTGACTGTAGCTTTAAGATAGGCATAGGACTAGAGGCTAAAAATGCTTAGGTTTGTTAGGAAGCCAGCTGTTTTTTTTTTTTTGAAGGAGCCACATGATATCTTTTTGGTGTTCTAAACATAGGGAGCCCAGAGTGAGACGTCGGTTCACTGGCTGCTGGCACCTAAATAGTAGTCCCCTCCAACCTCTCTGTATCTTTGTCCTACCCATATATTTTCAGTAATTGTTCAATGAAAAAGAAAGTTTGGAAAATTCTCTTGTAAATTTACCCAAACTTAGCTTTTTCCCATCTTCTTTAGTCACTTAAAGGCATTTTATGGTACATTTCTTATTACCATTAAAATACTCTTAAGATACAGCTTCTTACTTATGAATGGATGATTGTAAAAATTCATTTGTAACTCAGTTGTTATAGAATTTATAATGTATTTTAGAAGGGAAAGAAGGTACATGATGATTAGACTATAGAAGGCTATCTAAATATCAAATTTATTAATACTTGAAGTACAATTCTCTCAATAGTACTATGAAACCTACCTAATCAAGTTTAGTAATGTTTCCTTGAGAAAATACATTAAAAAATTTGAGCAAGACACTAGGAATGCAGCATATTCTAATGCCCCATTATTTGTCTCAAATATAATCAGGTTAAATAAGTTCAATACTGCCTGTGTTTCCCACATTGTATGTTGTCTTATTCTTTTCTGACATTTTTCAGGTATGTTTATAAAGTAGTTAAAAAGTCTTGGCTTCAGTCTGACCTTCCTGAACTGTGTGATTATTTTTGGTTTCGGTAGCTTCTTTGTCTCAATTTGCTTAAGTAGAAAGAATACATTGTCAGGGTAAAGACATTGCACCCTATAATATTGTGGGAATTGAATGGGTTTACATATATGAAAGTACTTTGCAAGTGTAAAACCCTGCATAAATATTGGTATTTAATGGTTTGACGTACTTAATTTCATCTAATCTTATTGCAGTGTGTAACTGCTACATCCCTTTTGAATCTATCTTCCTTTGGTTTGCTTTTATAAATCAAAACTGTTTTAGATGCTAAACGAATTTAAAAGACAGTTTGGAGTGTTTTAATTAAAATTGATTATGTGCACATGCAGACTATCAAATTTCCAGCGTAAAGTTTTATAAGTTTGCAAATATTTGTTAGACTATATTAATTGATTTAATTAAAGATTCCCTGGGTATTTAGAGATGAGCAATGTCACACCATAATTTACAAGATTATTGGCACTGGTCCACAAAGAAATTTTTTTTTTAATATCCAATTTTTATTTATTTTTTTCATTTATTTTTATTAGTTGGAGGCTAATTACTTCACAACATTGCAGTGGGTTTTGTCATACATTGACATGAATCAGCCATGGAGTTACATGTGTTCCCCATCCCGATCCCCCCTCCCACCTCCCTCTCCACCCGATTCCTCTGGGTCTTCCCAGTGCACCAGGCCCGAGCACTTGTCTCATGCATCCAACCTGGGCTGGTGATCTGTTTCACTATAGATAATATACATGCTGTTCTCTCGAAACATCCCACCCTCGCCTTCTCCCACAGAGTCCAAAAGTCTGTTTTGTACATCTGTGTCTCTTTTTCTGTTTTGCATATAGGGTTATCATTATCATCTTTCTAAATTCCATATATATGTGTTAGTATGCTGTAATGTTCTTTATCTTTCTGGCTTACTTCACTCTGTATAATGGGCTCCAGTTTCATCCATCTCATTAGAACTGATTCAAATGAATTCTTTTTAACGGCTGAGTAATATTCCATGGTGTATATGTACCACAGCTTCCTCATCCATTCGTCTGCTGATGGGCATCTAGGTTGCTTCCATGTCCTGGCTATTATAAACAGTGCTGTGATGAACATTGGGGTGCACGTGTCTCTTTCATATCTGGTTTCCTCAGTGTGTATGCCCAGAAGTGGGATTGCTGGGTCATATGGCAGTTCTATTTCCAGTTTTTTAAGAAATCTCCACACTGTTTTCCATAGTGGCTGTACTAGTTTGCATTCCCACCAACAGTGTAAGAGGGTTCCCTTTTCTCCACACCCTCTCCAGCATTTATTGCTTGTAGACTTTTGGATAGCAGCCATCCTGACTGGCGTGTAATGGCACCTCATTGTGGTTTTGATTTGCATTTCTCTGATAATGAGTGATGTTGAGCATCTTTTCATGTGTTTGTTAGCCATCTGTATGTCTTCTTTGGAGAAATGTCTGTTCTTTGGCCCATTTTTTGATTGGGTCATTTATTTTTCTGGAATTGAGCTTCAGGAGTTGCTTGTATATTTTTGAGATTAATCCTTTGTCTGTTGCTTCATTTACTATTATTTTCTCCCAATCTGAGGGCTGTCTTTTCACCTTACTTATAGTTTCCTTTGTTGTGCAAAAGCTTTTAAGTTTCATTAGGTCCCTTTTGTTTATTTTTGCTTTTATTTCCAATATTCTGGGAGGTGGGTCATAGAGGTTCCTGCAGTGATTTATGTCGGAGAGTGTTTTGCCTATGTTCTCCTCTAGGAGTTTTATAGTTTCTGGTCTTACATTTAGATCTTTAATCCATTTTGAGTTTATTTTTGTGTATGGTGTTAGAAAGTGTTCTAGTTTCATTCTTTTACAAGTGGTTGACCAGTTTTCCCAGCACCACTTGTTAAAGAGGTTGTCTTTTTTCCATTGTATATCCTTGCCTCCTTTGTCAAAGATAAGGTGTGTGGATTTATCTCTGGGCTTTCAATTCTGTTCCATTGATCTGTATTTCTGTCTCACAAAAAAATTTTAAAAATTCCATTCTGAAAGCTAAATATTCCCATAACAGTCTTTCTTCCACTACCCCCTCTTCATTCTTCTAAATTAATTCCTACCCTAAAAACTTTTCACGCAGTCTTTGAGGGCGTTACTTTGCCTCCGACCCTTCTGTTTCCAGTTACCTTTGCCATGCCACAGTGGACACCTCTTGCCCTCTAACAACCATTTTGAGGATGGAAAAATGTTCTTGAACTGTAAGAAGATAGTATTTCAGTAGGAAAGACCAATTTTGTCAATGTTTATTTTTTTTTGTTGATGTTTATTGAAGTACAACTTTTTCTTTACCTTGCATAAATAATTCTGATTTTAATTTTATCAAGTTTACTTTACATATTGAACTTTTTTGAAATCAAGGCATCCACTTTAAATCAGTTTTTGTTCATTCCAATTATTTGCAGTAGAAAATCTGTTTCTTAAGTTGATCTAAATCTATTGCCCAAGTTGGGGAAGTGAATGAACTCCCGTTCACTGAAAGTATAATAATAGCCTGTTTGAAAAATAGCCCTGTGAATCTCTTGACATATTTGTAAGTGACCTGTGTGTGATTATTGTATATGCTTTAAAGATACACTCATCTCTATTAACTGAATACCTGTGGGGGTGTTGGGAGAAAAATGGTTATCAGTAAGTCCAAATCACATCTAAAACAAAATGACAGAGGTGTTTAGATTATCTAGGTGCAATTAATCATAGTTACAGTAAGAAACTAGATCTAGGGGCTTTATATTATTCAGCTACTCTACATACCAGTCATTACAGTCAGATGCTACCTAATTATAAGCTCAGGAAGGCCAGGTGACAGTAACTACCTAAGATTCCCATTTCAATTTCTCCAACTCAGTAGCCAGCAATTTGTATATTGGCATGTTTTATCTGGGAGAAAGGATATTAAGGAAGAAAATTTATTTATTTTAGGACGTTAAAAAGATATAGTTTTAATAACAATGCTACTTTAGAGTTACAGAATGTTTTAAACTTTACAGAGTACTTGTGTATACACTTAACTTTGCAGTTTGGCCTTCCACTAGAATTCATAGGTTTACTAACTAGGTTAGCTGTGAATAGTCTTGCTGCCAAAAATGGAAATGGTTGCATATTTCAGTAATTACCAATCAGGAAAATGCTTTATGTTTTATATATCAGTGTCATTCAAATACAGTCCAATCCTTCAGTTAATGTTTTGTCTTTCTTCCAGTTGTTGGAACCTGTCTGTCACCAGCTCTTTGAATTCTATCGCAGTGGAGAGGAGCAGTTGCTTCGATTTACGCTGCAGTTTCTTCCAGAACTGATTTGGTGCTACCTCGCCATCTCCGCCAGCAGAAATGTGCACAGCAGTGGATGCATTGAAGCTCTTCTTCTAGGGGTTTACAATTTGGTTTGTATTTAATGGAGTTAACAAAATGTTTTAAAAGCCAAATATCAGCAAAAATGAATACATAATAGCAACTATTTTTCATTTTAGTAGAGCTAATGTTTGTTTTTTTATTACATCAGATGACTCATTGCTCATTCTCCCCAAAATAACCTTATGGAGGCTAAAGGCTGTATGGCCATACATACAATTATGTAAATACACATTTTTACTGATTGGAGACCATTTAAAAATCAGACCATTTAAATTCTTTTATGGAAATATTTGAAAATATCAGTGTTAAATTTTTAATTTTTTAAACTTAAAAGCTACTGTCTATAAATTATTGTGACTTTCACAAAAAGTTTGGAGAAAAGATTTAAATTAAGATCTACCACTAATAATTGTCTAAAATCTGGACTGTCTCCAAAGCTCACACCATTGATTTAATATATAGTTTGCATTACTGATAATGTTTGTATATAATATTAATATATTAAATATTCTAGATACATACTTAAGGTTTGTACTTTCTTAAATGGAAAAGTAATTTAAGGATCATTTTGTAATATGTTTCAGGACTGTGTTAGTTGATTTAGAAAATGGAACTTTTTACATCAGAAAAATCAATGATAATTAAGACATCTGCATTTCAGCCTTAAAACTATGTTACTTACATTTTAAGGAGAAGGTTAACTCCTAATGTTTATGAATAATGGATTATCATAGTTTAAGATTTTAGTTGACTTTAAAATTCCTTTCTTTTCAGGTCTTTTTTTTTTTCACTAACAATTTATGTGTAAAAAAATAAATATTATGAGACATTTTCTTTCACTTTCTTTTGTTTGTAGGAAATAGTTGACAAACAGGGACATAGTAAAGTATTGAGTTTTACGATTCCATCTTTATCCAAACCATCTGTATATCATGAAGTAAGTTACATTTTTATTAAAGTAAGTTTATTAGTCCTAAGATTTGCAGTTGCTGTAAATTAGGGTTTGGTTGGTTATTGAGGTGAAAAATTTGATCAGTTTGCTAGTACCTTAAAAAGTATAAAATTTCACACAAAGTATTTTGCTATTCCCAAAGTAAATGGGAAATCAAAATCATTAAACTAAAACCTGATTGTAAAAGATCTATTAAAAGTATTAATTTTGAATATTTTTCCCTTTATCTGACGAATAAGATTAGATTTTATGTGTGTGTGTGAGAATTATGTATTTCTGGGGTAGAATTTTTGAAGTTAAACTATTTTACATTTCTATTTGTGGTTTGTTTTTAGTCATTTGTTAAATCTTTCAGCAGAATACTTAGTAGGCAATATGAATATTTCTGAGATATATGATGTTTGTAGCAGTCATTCTAAATATATATATTGGTATGTATATTCTAAATACCACACCTTAAACAGAATGGCTTTTTCTTTATTCACGTGTCTTGTCTTTAGCCTTCCAGCATTGGGTCCATGGCTCTGACGGAGAGTGCCCTATCCCAGCATGGTTTGTCAAAAGTTGTGTACAGTGGACCTCACCCCCAAAGAGAGATGCTGACAGCACAGAATAGGTATACTGTGGAGACATAACCTACTATTCTACCATGCAGACTTCTAAAGAAATTATGTCAGTAGATTTATAAATAATGTTTAATGAGTTGTGTATAACAAGTTTTAAAATGTTGAGTCATTTCATACAAGAGAGACACCCCATCTTCCCTATTTGTCACTTAAATTTTGTTTTAGATGTCATCTGGCGCATTGAATTTTTAAGGTAATTTTCGTATGACTGTTACTTCTTTTTCCTTTTGGTTTTGTATTGTTGTTGGTGTGATTATATTGGACAGGTCTGTTCTGTAACACAATATCCCTCCCCAGTGCTTGCTTAATTATAACTGACTTCTTGGAATTCTCAAGATTTGTAAATACTCTGTTGGTTTGTTTTTAGGTTTGAAGTGTTGACATTCCTTCTGTTGTGTTACAATGCTGCCTTAACCTATATGCCCCGTGTTTCTCTTCAATCACTGTGTCAAATTTGCTCAAGGTAAATTCAAATGTTTTTAGTGTTGAAGTATATGCATCTAGTATTGCTTATTTGTTACATACCTGCGTTATTTTTTGTTTAATCATTTGTTTGAAACACTAAATAAGTTAATATGAAGCTCCACCTAGTCAACATACAGAAAGCTCTCTAAAGACACAATGAAGTCATAAAAAACACAACAAAGAGGATAAAACTGAATAACGATTCAATGGAAAATTTTGATGAGAAAAGGCTTATACTGTACAGTTAAAAGTATGGAACTGTTATGACCTTTCAGTTTTTGACATGGTTTCTGTTTTGTTTTCTTTTTATCTGTCTATCTTATCTAGTTAGTTATTTTTTGTGTGTTCTAATTTGGTACCAAGAAATATGTAGGGGATACTGGTTTTTATTTTTATTTTTTTTATTATTTGTTTTTTGAGATACTGGTTTTTAAACTTTTCTTGTTAAAAAAAAATTTAGCCAAGAACTTGGTTAAGTAAATTATGATGATTGTTGGGTATTAATATATGCAAATATTTAAGAATTCTGATTTAAAAGAGTATTTAATGATAGTATACATGGTGTGACTTCAACATTGACTGAATATGACCAGAGTATTAACAGTAGCTATGTCTACTTGGTGGAATTATAGTTTATTTTAATTTTTTCCTGTGTGATTTTCTGTCATTCTCTAAATTTTCTGTGTTGAACATGTTACCTTTTTTTGGCTGTGCTGTGAGGCTTGTGAAATCTTAGTTCCCCATTCAGGACTGAACCCATGCCCTCAGCAGTGAAAGTACTGAGTCCTAACCACTGAACCACTGGGAAGACCCTGCCTTTTTTCTTTTTTTTAAGAAAAATGAAAGAAAAACAAGTCAGAGAAAATGCCCTTTGTAATTCAAGTAAATAAGGGAAAATTTACAATTCAGGAACTTGTAAAATAATTTTTATATTTGGCAAACTTAGAAAATGTAGCTTTGGGCAGTTAATAAGAGGGAGGGTGCATAGAGAAGCATAATTTCATTATGGAGGATGGTACCAGTGTGCCGTCACTCTCAATTACTGACTCTTGCTAATATGTTTCTTGTTTTAAATATTTTAAAGGTGGAAGTGCCCAGGGTTTTTGAATTTCACAGATCTATAAAATTTCAGAAAAGTTGAAGTGGGTATTTGCATGGTGTTGCCAACTTTTTCTTTTGTCAAGTCATTGTGGTATAAATATCTTCCATCAACATCATTTAATCAAAGGAGAATATTTTTACACCCAAAAGGGGTAGAGTGGAAGGCTAGGACAACAGTTTATAAGTTAAAAGTGGGAAGTTTAGCACTTTTCATTTCTCATTTCAGTATGGTCCAGTGAAAATGTTACACACTAAGATGAGTGTAAGAACCAACACTTCAGAAACATTGGCTTAAGGAGTAACTCGATGCTGAAACTTCCACCTGTGGAACTTAAAACACACTACTCTAAAGCAGTGTCTTAGGTGGTAGGACCCAGGGATGTGTGTGTGTGTGCATACAGATGTTCTACTACATCCTTCTAAATGAGATCCACTGTTGATATTTTACCGAAATTACTGATGACAAAGTTAGGGAAAAAAAATGTGTTGCTGGTCCTGTTTAACTCCAACGGACTGTTTTCTAAAAAATTACTTTTATCTTCTGGGTAGAAAATAGCTAGTATATCAAGTTTACCGAAGCAGGAAACTAGATAACCGTTTTTAAGAATACAAATAGGGGCTGATTTTGAAAACAAAGAGAAACACAGATTACTTTAAAACTGTCTACAGGATACTGGCCAAAGAATATTTTAGTAGAAATGTTTTAGGTTAACTCTGTGCCACAAGAAAACTCAAATGTATATTCACCAGCTATAAGAAAATGAAGGAGGAAAGAGATTTATGTAATTCAAAAGACTTAAAACTATTTAACATTGCTAACTCTTATGGCACAGAACATTCATAGTAGGATCTCTATCAGACTTATCATTTCCATCTTTTTTAGTTTGCTTTTGTTTTTGTTTTAGAGTCTCTATTATTGTATGATTTCAAATCTACTTCTCTTAAGTCTTCATTTCCTTAGTCATTTATCAGATATTCTAATTAAGGTGTACATTTTTTAAAGATGTATAGATAAAAGTTAGAAAGCACTAGGATGGGCTTCCCTGCTGGCTCAGACAGTCAAGAATCCACCTGCAATGCAGGAGACCTGGGTTCGATCCCTGGGTTGGGAAGATTCCCTGGAGGAGGGCATGGCAACCCATTCCAGTATTCTTGCCTGGAGAATCCCCATGGATAGAGGAGCCTGACAGGCTGCAGTCCGTGGCGTTGCTAAGTCAGACACAACTGAGTGACTAAGCACACAGTATCTAATCAAGCAAAGTCTAGTCTGTAGCTCGGGAAGGGAAACTGGTTATAGAACTGAGGTGATAAATAAGTTTTAAGTGAAAGTATAAGAGCTTCCTGTTGACCTCAGCCCTGATGCAGGTTTTCCTGAAGAATAAAGTAAAGTGGTCATACTGTGCTATGGCTGATCAAGTTGTCTTGGCCCTGTGGCAGTTGCTTCAGGTTGCTGCTTCCTTTGGTTGCTGTTGATGATTATGCAAAATGATTGACTAGTCTATCTAGGAGGACAGATTCATAATACAGCCATAAAAATTTCTTGGAATATATGAGCTAGGTTCAGTGACAGATGTGTTCCGTTCTATTTTTAACTTCTGATTATAATGAGTTGTGGAATTAAAACAATCCTGGACACTTCCCACCCACCACTTATCTATTCTACTGGGCAAAAATCTGTTCAGTTAACTATAAGCTTTGCTTCTTGATTCAGATTGATGGCCAGTTTGATGCTTGTGTTTTCCTCATACATAGTGTGCACAGACCACTGGAAGGGGAGATCTGAAAGGAGGCTAGATTGAATGAATTTTAGTCAACAAGTTTTTATCTTCTACTAGTACTAAATATTACATTGTTGTTTAGTTGCTAAGTCATGTCTGGCTCTTTTGCAACCCTATGGGCTATAGCCCACCAGGTTCCTCTGTCCATCAATTTCCCAGTCAAGGATACTAGAATAAGTTGCCATGTCCTTCTCCAGGGGATCTTCCCGACCCAGGGATCTAAACTACTCTGCATTGCAGGAGAGTTCTTTACCACTGAGCCACCAGGGAAGCCCAAATAGTACATATGACCCTCCTAAAAGCAACATAGCCACCAATTCTACAGATAAGTTTTATTAGTATATTCCTAAATCTTGTAAATTTTTGAAAATATTTTTCTTTTCTTTGAGCATCTCTTTTAATACAAGTGTGTTTAATAAATGTCTTATCTTGCCTTTTGATGTTGAATATAAATATTAAATATGAAACTATACTAAGCTATAAGTTAAATTCTCCCCCATTGTCTAAGCAACTGTCCTGATTTTGTTCACTTGGTGAGTCACCTCACTGAGTAACTTGAATATATACTGCTAGGGATTCTTGATCTGTGTGTTTTTCCTGTATGAACATTCCTGATTTCTAAGTCAGCCTTCTGATCACCTAATAAATTTCTTCTTGTTTTCTGTCTGTTAAGGACACCTTTGTGCCAAGAAACTATCCTGTGGATTAATTTTTGTGACTGATGAGAGAGAGGGAGAACAGGCTCCTAGCACAGTGTATGCCACTTTGTTATCATTCAGTAAAGGACAGCTATTATGTAGTATGCCCCAGTGATGAACACGCATTTTCACTATAGATGCACAGACGCTCTTTCTTTTTCCCCCACCTGTTTGAAGTTAAAATTCGTTCTAGAGCATACCTTATACTAGGTCATTCCTTGTTGAAGGAACCTACAATTGACTTTTCATGGCTTATTATTTAATTTGTAAACCCTCCTATCTTTATAAATCATTCCTTTACAACCCATTGGAAATAATCTTTCCTCCAACAACTTCAGTACTAGTTTTGTATATGGTACTCTCTTTAGGAAAATGAGAGAAGATGCAGCCTTTACTAGGCTCCTCATTTCAAAGAGCAGAAGCATGAGAAAAGAAAAGTGCTCATTGCTGTATAGGTAATTCTTCCATTTTCTCTTTTCTCCCTTATTCTTGACTTTTCTGCTCTCCTGGCCTTCTTACCTCCACTCTCCTCACTATTTAAAAAGCAGAGCAGAAAAGGAAGAGGTTTTGAAATTGGTTAGTTTTATGTCATGGTATATGTTTTATCCAAATAGATATGGTATAGAACTGGACAGAATTTTAAATATTTCTCAAGTTAAAAAAATAGAAAAATTATTGTTTCCCTTTTTTTCTAATTTCTACTCACTGGTCTTATGAGCTAATGATGGTAGTTAATCTATTTTTTTTTTCCTACTTTAAGTTCTAAATAGTCTCTCCAGTCAGTCCCACTGGAATTGGACTTTCTAATCATTTTGTGGTTTGTAATTCAGTATATTGACAACAATCTCACAGGTTTTCTTTCATTCTAAGAATGAGATAGTAGTGTCTCTCAACAGAGAATGAGAATCCTGGCAGTAATTTCCCTCACTTACAAATTGATACTTAGATCTTCTCCCCAAAATATGTTGACAAAATATGCCTTCCAAAAGGAATTTAATTTTTTCATGGTTTATGAATTTGGGAGGTATCTATATGTGACCATGTTGTTGTTTAGTCGCTCAGTCGTGTCCACCTTTTGCAACCCTGTGGACTGTAGCCCACCAGGCAGGTGGATTCTTTACCATTGAACCACCAGGGAAGCCCAAATGTGACCATAGAGTAAGTTTAATACCGCAGTAGGGGTTAGGTCACTCAGCTGCTCTTTTGTAAGGTCGAGTACTTATCTTTTGGATTTGTAAAGGGAAATCAGATAACTTCAGGGTAACCCTTTAATGATTAGAGGAGTCAAGCACTCAAGTGACATGTAGCTTTATTGTTGGTTTTTGCTGTGTTATATATCTTATGTAAATTCAGTGAAAATAAAATCTGTGCAAAAAGAATATCTTTGAAGAGAACAATCAGAGTACTGAAGAGTAAATCAG